CTTTCGTGTCGGGATTTTCATGATGACCGAGTTGCGTTTGCACTATCATCACATGATGGTAGTGCGAACGAGGCTCTCTGAGGACACGTTAAGGATAAAAAGAGATCTATTTTCTTCCCTTACTTTTGTTCTCCACCCGCATGCGCTCTTCGTATTCTTGTTGATCTAAAGTTAGATGGAGTAATACGTCCCTCAAAGCCGTTGCGAGAAGGTGTGCCTCGCGAGACTCTCTTCCGATGATTTCCGCCATGAAAGAACTTCGGCTAAATGCTGCAGATTCAATAAATTCACGTTCTGGGAAAAAAGTATACCAAGCAACTTGATTCTGACCCCTTGCATTGGAAGGGAACAGTCCTCCCCATCAGCCTGAGAGAGGCAGAGGGCCGCATTTCCTCTGGAGGCATTCACGTTCAGACAGGGGGAAAGAAGGAAATCAATCGTTGCCTTTCCTTTCTCTTTTCATACTGCACGTCTGCAAACAGAGTCCTCTGGATGCAAGGAAAAAAGTCTGGTCTTTTCCCGCGCAATTCCGCCTTTCCATCGTCATGCCCTTGTCGACGGTTAACCACGCCATCAATTTTCCGTATCGGCATGAATCTCGAAGGCCAGAACCGCGAACCGTTCGCAAGCTTCGTGTACATCTTCCACGGATCCCTCCTAGGTCTCCCTTTCTCATGGCGGAGGAAATTAACAGGAAGTTTTCGGTAGAACACGTAAAAAAAAAAGAAGACAACTCTAATAAATACACAAACACTGTCTTTGAGCTGGTTCTTTGAGTGGGGAAGGACCGTATAGTTTCGACCGGGAGAGTTCACATTGTTTATGTCAGAGAGCTTATCAGCATGCCGTCGTGAACGAGTTAGGATTCTTCCTTGGAGACATCGTCTTTAAAACCCCTTTGGATTCGGAAAGCTTCGTGTGCAGTTGTACGGTCTTTGACAAAGGAAGAGACTGAGAAGAAAAGGGGGCTTCTCGATTTCCCGTCTCTCCTCTTGGGTGTCATGTACCAAATCGGATAAAAAGAAACTAATCTGGTTTCGTAAATGGGCCCATATGATGTCCGGTTCACCTGGGCTAATCTCTTTCCCATAAATGACATTATGGAATCGGATCAGGTTCCGGTAAGACAAAATATTTTGCCTGTCACCTCATGGTCCGCAGAACTTGAAAATTCTTGCGGGGAAACAGCAAAGAAGAAAGGTCATCTCTGGAAAAGGTCCTCGATTTATTCATTCCTTCGTTGCTGAGGGACGAAACTGCGTATTTGACTCCTCGCACTTTCTGTCTCATTTCTTCATTTTTCGGTCTCCTTCCCTGTGCAGGACATCCTTCGAGGAGCTATTGCAGAAAGAAGTCATTTCTGAATTAAGTCTTTCTCCTAATCTTGGGAGGGGGGGGGGGGGGGGGGGGGGGGAAAAAA